ATAAACTGTAAAACTTATTTTCAGGGTTCTAACATTTTCTACCAGTGAGGAAGATCACCCTAGGAAATTTGATGACGTCATTCATGCAAGCTAAACCACCAACAGTGTATTTACGAAGGATTGCTATATATGGGTAGAATTCCATAAGAAACACTAAAAGCTGCATGCCCCAGGAACCAGTCCAAAACAGTAATACCTTGCTAATGTGGATTCTATGAACTCAAAAACTGTATAGCAAACAAGGATGACAAGTCTTTGTAATTATAAGTCTATTACCTTTGTATGTTGTCTTTTAACTACAGCAGTTCTATATAGTAACTTGCATGTGAATGTACTATATTTACATGACCTTAATGATCGCCTGCATGCTTCTGTGTTTTTTGTTGTTTTGTTTTTTTTGCGGGAGTGGGGAATGCTTTTTAAAAGGCAGAGATTGGTATTTGCTTAATTGCTGGTATAGACATTGCCTCTGTGAACTAGATGTCTTTTGGCTATGACTGAATTCCACTCTTAAGACTCAACCCCAGTTACTGAGAGGCTATCAGGGTTTATGAGGGTACAGGGCTAAAGACAATGGGTGGATGATAAGGTTATCAGGATAGCCAGGCCAGATCAGTCACTTTTAGTGGTATTTTCGAGAGAGGAGGTGGAAATGAAGAACAGCTGAATGGGAAGCAGAACAGACCTATAATCCTGTTTGGTTTATTGATTACTGCAAATACGTGAGCTGATTTTCTAGAACTTAAAATAATTTAATTTGGGGAGGAGGATAGAATAAGCCAATAATGTTCACACACTCTCCTCTGCACAATTTTCTGAAAAGTTTTCTCCATAGTAATTTGGCTAAGAGAATAGAATGCCTTGGGTAAGTCTTCAAACATGATACAAGGCCCTATAAGCAGTCCATGCTTACACTGTGCATGAGGACACTCACAGCCCCATCCCACACCTAGTGAGCCAGAATCTCTGAAGGCAGAGCCCAGGAACCAGTGCTCAGGCCAACACCACTCCTGGCCTTTTCTCTTGAGCAGTTCAGTTCTAAGAAGTAGTTTCTAGGGCACTGAGTTTAAATCTCATAATACTTTAAGTAAGAATCACCTACAGAGATTTAAATTGCAGATTCCTGGGCTCTTTGTACTTCTAGGGCCTGCAGAAAGGAAGTGCTTAGTAAACATCTGTTCACTAGGTGTGGGGTGGGGCTGTGAATGTCCTCATGCACAATATAAGCATGGACCGCACTTTAAAGACATCGTTTTGAGGGCCTTGTATCATGTTTGAAGACTTACCCAAGGCATTCTATTCTCTTAGCCAAATTACTATGGAGAAAACTTTTCAGAAAACTGACTGAATAGATGCGAGGGTGGAGTGGGATGAGGAGACTGTTGTATGTGGCAATAACATTGTCTGGTAATTACTTCACGCACGTAATCCTTGTTTTTTCAAACATCGTATACTCATATACTGATCTAACCATTAGTCAAGAATCGAACACTCAATACTTCAAAAGAAAAATGTTTTTCAAAAAGTGAGTTAAGTACATAGTTGGCAATCTGGATACGTAGAAAAAAAATTACACTCTGAGAAGGGAGCAGAAGGGGTATAAGGGATGGGATGCAGCCTTTGCAACCACTAGCTTCAACTTCAACATGTTATACAGTAAGAATACCTTCAATATTTGAAAGCTCTTTGACCAAACTCCTAAGCTTGTGAGAATATAAAAGTATTTTTGCATTCCAGATTACTTTGATCTCAACAGTTACAGTCAGACTCTTACCTGTATTCCAAGGTCCTTCATTCTTGCGAATGCCAGCTCTCTCAAATTACCGTGCTCAACTCCTGAGCTGACTAAGGGCATTGGAATATCCCTGTAGGAGAAAAAGATCAGCTGTTGTCAAGTATAAATCATTCTTTACAGCAGTGGAATAAGAAGATCTTGAAAAAAGGAAAAAAGAAAACAAAAACTCAAACCCAAACAACCTACAATACAAATCAGAAAAGCAGAAGCTGAAGATTCCAAGCAGGGAGCAAGGTTCAGAGCTTCTCTATCCCTCAGTTTTCCCATCTATGAAATTATGATTTTCACCTACCACTCAGGGTTTCTGTGAGAAACACCTGATAAAAATCACTTTATAAGATTATAAAGTGCAAAATAAATATCTAATAACCATTAGTAATGATTTCTGGCTGAAGAGACATTTGTATTAAACAAAACAAGAAATAAAACTGTTGTGTGTTTTTTAATCCAATTTTATAGTTAGTGAATGACAAGTAACCAAAAGCCCATCTTAGCCAACAACTGGTCTCAAAGAATAATTTTTTCCCCTGTTTCCCAAAAACCTAAATGAGAAGTGACTCTGTAGTAGGAGAATAATAACTTGCCTAAAGGTAAGATTCCAAGCAGGGAGCAAGGTTCAGAGCTTCTCTATCCCTCAGTTTTCCCATCTATGAAATTATGATTTTCACCTACCACTCAGGGTTTCTGTGAGAAACACCTGATAAAAATCACTTTATAAGATTATAAAGTGCAAAATAAATATCTAATAACCATTAGTAATGATTTCTGGCTGAAGAGACATTTGTATTAAACAAAACAAGAAATAAAACTGTTGTGTGTTTTTTAATCCAATTTTATAGTTAGTGAATGACAAGTAACCAAAAGCCCATCTTAGCCAACAACTGGTCTCAAAGAATAATTTTTTCCCTGTTTCCCAAAAACCTAAATGAGAAGTGACTCTGTAGTAGGAGAATAATAACTTGCCTAAAGGTGAGAGGAGAGAAAATTGATTTCCTGGCATTAATCTAGTGTAAAGTTCCTGATATCAAGGAGACTTCAATCAAAAGTTGAAGTTCCATATAGTAGCCCCAAACACCCTCTTCTAGACAAGCAGTTTCTAAAAATCTGAAGAACATGCTCAGCACATCTGCTTTCTATTTAAAGACAAGACCCCAATTTGTTTTGTCTAATATCTGGTAGATCAGAAGAAAGATGCAGAATACACCAATTATCTTCTCTTATTTTTTTGCTTTTGAATCAATTTGAGTCTTTTCCTTCTCTTGTTACTTAACCTTTCAAATATCATGTACAATTAGCTCCTCCATCCATTAATTCTAATAAGACATTTCTCATTCACTCAAAAGTATCAAAAGCCAATCAATTAGCATTAAAAACTATACAGAATAAGTCTATAAGGCTCTGGAAGTCAGTAGTTTCCATAAAGACACTATAAAACAATGACCAGTCAAAATTCTTTAAGATGACTCCCCAGGAAATCCAAAGCAAGAGTAAACAACCAAAGTTAAAGTCTTCTCAATGCCCTTTTATACTTTAAAATATGGTATAAATAGCTCACAAATACATATGTATACACTTTCACAACTTAAAAGTGTAAAACATTGTTATATATGATGTGAAATTAATAAAACCAATGGCAACCACTGTTAGTACCACACATGACAGACATTTGATTTTTGTTATGCACAGCAAGTTATGTTTTATAAAGGTGCCAAAATACTGAATTAGCAAATACCGAAGCATTGATCCTAGGGAAAATGCAGACTGGTTTCCTGCAAGTCTTTAGTCACATTTTCTTTAACTGATCAATGCATAACCGTGTTTTATTTGTGTTTCTGTTTAAAGGCACTTCATTTAACATCTAAGTGATTCATTAATATCGCACTCGTAGCCCACAGCACTATAAATTCATGCCTCAGTGAAACCTCTAACCATGTATTTTCTTCATCAGGCACATTACAGCCTTCTTGTGCTTAGGAAACTAGATAGGCAGCACTATGCCTGGGGGCCATTTTAAATAGCAAAATCAACAAAAAGGTAAGAAATGTTATTGAATAGACTGTGAAAAGAACACTGTTTACAGCATGAGAGCTGAAACAAGTACATAGTATCGCACCAATATCCTATTACTCTTTCATCAACCCTCCAACTACCAGTCTACCACTTACCAGTGACTCCTGTCTGTAGGCAGCATCTTCCTATAATGGTTGTCAATGGTGATTATCTACTTCTATCATCCCATTTGCATTTATTAGCTGAGCTTATATTGAAGGAAGAGCTTTCCCTTTTCCCTGTTTATTCGTTTCCTTATGAACGCATAGATTCCCATTTTATTCAATGAGATGTAACCTGGTATTAACCCATTTATTTTGTTGCTTAAGTTAGATTTGGCCAGTGGGCATGAATTCAGGCTGGCATTTGAGAATATTCACTTTTCTATTTCAAGGGATACTATTTCAAGCTTAGTGGTGCTAATATTTGTAATTTACTCATCAAAAAACCTTTAAAAGGATGTCTAGAGATATTTTGGTCTGAAGTTTCTCACATTCCAGAAGCATGTTTTGGTTGCAAA